GGCGCAAAAATGTAGGGGGATGGCGCACAAAACTCGGATGCCGGCCCTGGTTGAGTCACTCGACTTAAGCTTCTTTTGCAAACAACGTGTATTATGCGATATTATTTGAACAGGATGAGGCCGCTAGAATTAGTCTGCCTATTATTTATCAGACGAGCGGATTTTAGGCTCAGGCAGAGCAGCACAGAGTTCACCAATATAATCCGAGCTGTCGACGCCCTCGCTTCAGCCAGAAGTAGCGGTACTGAGTACTGAATCAACCTACCTGCTTCCACTTTTTTATATTCAGGATTCAGTATAATTTCCGAAAAAAAAAAGTTGAAATTTCGTCATCTCCCAAAATTGCATGGTTATATAAACAAATAAATTGTTAGTGGATGTAGTGTCGCTTGCGACTATGCTCAATTAAGCAATCAGACTATTAAATATAGCACGGAGAGTTTCTGATAAAACCTTTATACTAACATTGACTCAAGTCAGGCCGAATGAATTATATTATGATTACAGAGTGAGCATATCTCAATATGCATTATACATAAATATATATTATTGACGAATTGTGCTTTATTCATTCTACAAATTATTTTAATCCTGCCAGTAGTGTCGATCCTTTAAAGTAAATGTTTCCCTTATTTTCCATAAGTAATTTGGGCACTATCTGAAATTCATCGTTGGAAAGTACCGATAAGTGCGAACCTGTACGGAGTACGCGTGCATCGATTCACCGCCACTTGACGCTGTAAACGGCAGTGCATGTGCTGCACCGTAGCCGATCGCTTATGTGTCTGAAACTGAAATATACTAAGTGACATATAAATCAGAACACCCAGTTTAAATGGTTTTATTTTAATAAAATTTTGTATAAGTACTTAATGAAGCATAATAAGTAAATGATAAAAATTTCAAAATGATTGCACTGCTTTAAAGCCCTTTGACCTTTAATAATGTGTGGATGCACCCTGATGTGCTACGCATTCTCCAACGCGCCTAGGCATGCTTCTGATCAGGTGGCCAATGTCCTCCTGTGGTATCTCATTCCAGGCAACCACCAACTCCTCTCGAAGTGCTTCTAGAGTCTGAGGAGGACGTTGCAAATTGAGCAATCTCCTACCCATCATATCCCACACGTGCTCAATTGGGGATAAGTCGGGAGATCTTGGTGGCCATGGTAACAATGTGACATCATTATGTTGAAAGAAGTCTATTGTGACTCTTGCAACATGTGGTCGGGCATTATTTTGTTGGAAAGTTGGATCTGCCAGGGTGTCAAGATAGGGTAAAAGATGGGGTTCTAGAACTTCGTGGATATAACGCTGCGCATTCATGTTACCTCTGATGAAGATTAAAGGTGACCTGTAACCATAAGCTATAGCACCCCAAACCATAACGTGTGATGAACATGTCTTTCAACAAAAAACTGTGGATTCCTCCTTTCACCACGTCTCCTTCTAACCCTGGCACGACCATCGTGCATGCCTAAACAAAATCGAGACTCGTCACTAAAGACAATACTGTTCCATTCGTGATCCCAGAGTGACCGGTGTCTGCACCACTCAAGGCGATGTTCTCGAGTTAAAGGGAGGACCCAGTGTGGCCGGTATGAAAACAAGCCAAAACTTCTCATTCGTCGGTAAACATTTCGCATGCCAATAGGTCTTCCGTGTTCTGCAAACCATTCATTTGCAATGGACCTGGTAGTGGAGAAACGGTCCCTTAAGGCCAATAATCTTAGGCGGCGATCTTCACGGTCTGTTGTTCTACGGCGGCGTCCAGTGCCCCTTGCTCTTTGCGTACGGCCTTCTCGAAGCCATGCCTGACAACACCTATCCACAGTGTCTACACTTTTTTGCACTCTAACTGCAATTGCCCGAAAAGAAAGTCCAGCTTCCCGAAGTCCCAGTATACGGCCCCTATCAAACTCACTAAGTTGACGAAATCGTACAGGTCTCCGTACTCTAGGCATCGTAACCGATCGTAAAGGATGTCAAGAACCAAAATCCGCCAACGTTGATTCTTTACTGCGGCTGAAATATTCATTTTTAGAGCGTTAGTGAATTAAAAAAAAAAGCAGTATAAAAACCGGAATGTCCAACTGATAAGGCTGAAAATTTTTTCACTTGTTATTTACAGTAAGATAAATACATTCACCAACTTTTATTAAAATAAAACCATTTAAACTGGGTGTTCGGATTTATATGTCACTTAGTATATGTACTTGGGGATTTGCCCGAGTGTAGAATATGCGTTACCAATTCTGTGATATTGACTTATACTCTATCTGAAGTCACTTGAAACACTGTGAAATACCGGGTGCGTTTTATATATCTATATTTAACACGCTCTGTTGCTGCAAAAATCGCCAAATTTCGCAGCAAATATTCCCCGTATAAGATCAAAGGCAGTTTCACCGGTCCACGTGGAGTAAAGCACGCCTATGCGTGGACATAGCCAATGAGAAAGCGTGTATTTCAGAGCTCCCAACAAGTGCAGGTGGCTACTGAAAATTGAAACAGTTTAGCCAGTGCCGTGTAGCGGTGAATAAACGTGTTTTCTTTAGTCTGTCCGTGTTTTTTCATAGATTTTATTAGTTTGTGTGTTTTTGACTTTTGAATACTCAGTTTACTTGTTGATTTAACTGTTGTGTTGATTGTTCTTGTGTGTCCTAAATATGGCTCTTTGGAGACCTTGGGAAAATGCTCCAAGCCACGAGGAGATGGTTGATGAACCTGTGCAGGCAGAATTCTTTCATAAAGATTTAGAGGAACAGACCCAAAAAGTAATCCTAAATATGTATGATTGTCTGAAAAACGAAAATCCATATTCCTCGCAAAATCAAATTTTAAACAGAATTTGTACCCTGACAAAAATCAGTCGGTCTACCATTTATCGGGTTATAAAAAGGGGAGATGTAGTCAACCATTCCTTCCACAGAAAGCGCATAGGGCAAAAATTAAAAAGAATAGACGTGGGTTTTCAGGAAGATATTCGTCGTATAATATACGGATTTTATAAAGAAAATTTGGTGCCCACGTTGGAAATGATACGGGATAAATTAAAAGATTATCCTGAAGATTTTTATAATTACAAATGCTTAGACTCACTGCACTGTATTGTAAAACTGTGTGGTTTTCAATACAAAAAATTAGATAAAAGAATGGTGATTATGGAGTCGTCTCGAATCGTTGAATTGCGCCAAGAATTTTTGCACAAAGTTAAAATCTATAGAGAGCAGAAAAGAAATCTGATTTACCTGGATGAAACGTGGTATGATACCCATGATGTTGTGCAGTACGGCTGGGTTGACGACAGCAACAAGTGCATTTTAAATGCACCATGCAACCGTGGAAAACGAATGATTATTCTCCATGCTGGCAGTGAAAATGGATTTATACCTAATGCCTTGCTGTTATCTGCCAAACATATCAAAGAATGATGTGCCGACTTATTTGAAAAGTGGATAGAGCAGCAGTTAATACCAAACATTTCCCCAAATTCAGTGATTACTATGGACAATGCGCCATACCATTCTCGACAGAAAAACAAAATTCCGAATACAGGCACAAAAAAACAAGACATTATTGATTTTATGAAGGATAAGGGAATGGAAATACCACAAAAATCAAGCAAAGCCATATTATTGGATCTTATTAAAAGACAAAAATTTTAAAAAGAGTATGTTGTTGACAATCTGCTTCAGCAAAATGGCCATGAAGTATTACGTCTACCTCCCTATTACTGCATTTTTAACCCGATTGAGTTGGTCTGGGCTGCTTTAAAAAAAAAAGTAAGAAAACATAATCAGACCCCTCAATTAAGTGAATCGCTATTGGCCACAATGAGAGATGCAGCATCTCATATTGCTGCCACAGACCTATGGAAGCAGTGTTCTAGGCATATTATTGAAAAAGAAAATGAATATTGTGTTTTGCCTCCTGTAAATCCGCACGCCTATGATACGTCATGAAATTACAAAGGACGCGCCGACCAAAGGTTTTTATGCTATTTCAAGTGACTTCAGATATACCATACGTGGATTATGCCTAAAATTCTCATCTACCTTCAAGGAAGCATTTCTTGCAGCGATAATGTGACTTAGCTAGTTTTTGAAATGGCCTCAATTCCATTCTACTTCACAGAGATCAGAGCGAACGGCTACTCGGTAATGGCCTGAACATCACCGGAGATCTAATAGTGGTCGCCTGGATGTCTGCCTCGGCATAATCTAAAATCGATAGAAGAGGATATCGTGATCCAGAAGCGGATATCCAAGAGTGTATCCAGCATTCCGTTTCTCGTTTTGCTCTGGCGGCGATGCAGAGCCTACTGTTTTATTCACAGTCACGGAACATACGCCGCGTGTGCACGTCACACGAGGAATTTAATGATTCCATGTTTTACGGTTCGAATAATGTATAAACGGAATTATTGGGGGTTGTCTGGCGAGGTTACGGGGTTATCGAACAGGCTATATCGAAAAATCTTAAACAGAAACCCTTTCTAGGCATTTTTTATTTGAATAACGTCCGTGGTATCCTGAACGATAGGACTTTTTCAGAAATAACTACGTTTGTAATAAGCGAGCTAATGTAAGATGAAACAACAGCGAGAAAGTAAAAAAACCAATGAAAATGTTCATTGAAAAGAAGTTTCAAGTACAGCTGTGTCACTTGTAAGTGTTGTTCAAAGTTGATTAAATCGGTTTTGAAACGAATGGTTCATTTGTATCATATCCAATAATACTCTATATTACTATGAGGCAATGTGTAATAACACGTGCATAGTGAAAAAATCTAAATAAAAGTTTTTTCATTCTATTTGACGTCCTGAATAGATTCATAGCTTGAATGCAGTTCGACCAATCCTTGAGAAAAATTAATTATCAGATATTATATATAGCTTACATAATGGCTCAATTTCATAATTCACGTGAGTCTTTTGATAGCAATTACTGCATTCTGTATATATCTAGAACAAAACAGGCTTGTGTATGTATGGAAAAAATGAAAGGAGATTATGACAGGTTAAGGTATGGAGAACGCTGGTTTATGAAATAGTGAATGTACCACATCTTTGAATACTCGTAAGTACAATCGTTGCAGTTGTGTTCTGCTGAGAGGATTTGTAACTATCGAACGCCACGTACGTGATGAAATCTATAGAATTTACAGAGAAAATGAAGTGGAAATAGAATAATTTTATATGTGTCTGCGGTTTATATTCATACAATCCTGCCGAGACTCTGTGATATTTGACGTAATGGCACATGTTATTTTGAGGATTGGCTGCCACTGGTATCAAAAACTCCAATTTTGCATGAAAGTAGTCATTCTAACAAGTATAAATCTAAAATTCAAAAACAAGTTTTGTGAATCCTGAAAACAACACCAATTATATCATGATGCCATGTCATTGCATTATGTCGTGTCATCACTTGCAGTCAACAGCTGTTTTTGTTGTTGCAATATTTAAAACCTTCATACGAGGGATGTCTTTTGAGTTTTGCATATAGAAACATAGTAGGCCGCGCGGATCGAACGTCAGTACTGAATCTTAACCTCACTCTTTAGTAAACTTAAATTCAAAGTTTGCAGTTGACGCATTCAAAAATGCCGTTTTGGATCTGCTAGCAAACGATTGGAATAAGTGCTTCGAAAATTGGTTCGAGCGCATGCAGATGTGTATTAATCTACGTGGAGAATACTTCGAAAAACAATAAAGTCATTTAGAGCTACCTACCGTGTTGTTTTATTTCCATATGCAAAACTCAAAAGACATCCCTCGTAAAATTATAGCTGCCAGTTGCGGCAGTTTATGTGGTCAGCTCCAGTTAAACGTTACCTTGTTTTGATCGTTGTATGTTACTTATGCAAGAAACATTCTTAGCTTCAGTTTTTGAAGATTTTTTCTTTGAAATGTCGGTTCGGTGCTCAATGCGGTTCATTCTGGAATTCCGACTTCCGATGACTCGACCGATATTTTTGAGTGGTATTGAGCGACTGTTATCGCATTATAAGATTTGCTGCCTGAAATTCAGTCCCATAGTCATCAGAACATTTGTTTTCAACAAGACAGGTCAGCACTTCTTGGAGCACACTCGGTAAAACCATAGTTCTGCAGCGACAATTCGGCGGACAGCTAATGTCCTGTTTTAACAGACAAATTGGCCGCCTAGATCTTGTGATATCACACCTCTAGACTGTTTCTTTTGAAGGTACCTCTATACTTAAAAAAATGGCGTTATGTAGATTGACTATAATACTTCCCCTGCCTTCGAAATAGCGCACTAATTGGGTTTTTCATGAAAAAAAAATTCCTCATTTTGTAGCAAGGAGCGTGTCCATACACGGTATCCTCATTTCCTTGGTGCTCTGGTGTAAACCTGTACGTCACGAAATCAAGTAACCTCATTAAACGGCACTCCAAGCAGAATGCTCGAATATAGAGATAATATATGTGTGTAATAGTTTTAATATACTAACATCAAAAATTGCGATACACCCTCCACTACCTCCTCTACAATGCCCACCCTACCTCCAATTTTACTTACCCCTTATTTTTTCCCAAAAATGTTCAGAGCCCTCTGAAACGTCGAAAAAGTTTTTTTCGATAGTGGCATATTGACATAGTAGAAACATTGTTAAAGAAATTTCATCCAAATCCGAGTAGTCTTTCCAAGTTATAGACAAGCCAAAGATTAGCGGGCACACAGACCGACCGAAATGAGTGGCATGCTGTTATGTGCATGTCCATGTAACATTCAAAAAACATAATATCTCATTTTCGAATTTTTGTTGCGATTACAATACCTCGCCACTAGGCGTGGGACGTAAAAATGGGATATCAGAAACCAGCATCTACTCAAAATGCGTCATTGAAAATTTGATATTCTAAAATGGACTACGTTACCCGTAGTGACGACAAATATTCAAAACACTATTTTAAAAAACAAATGCCTTAGAGTCTCTTTTATTTGATAATGAGGACAAACCTATACAGTTGATTGAAATGAATCACTCATTACATTTTTTGTCATTTAAATCAGCGCGATTTATTATGAGCTACCATTAATCTAAAAATTGTGTAGTGTTCTTATGAATGATACATCTAGTCCAAGAATAGATGTTTCGCAAGTCTCAAACCGGTCTTTGAACTACGTGCATATACACAAAATTATATGTGTTACAACTTCTCAAAACAAACTTCCACATCTTGCTTCCTGGCTGTACTGAATTATAAAATATTCTTGCTGCCAGGAAACTGTTTACCCATCTGATATTTGCTTTCTTTCTCACAGAAACGTCTGAAAGTACCGACAGTGTTTATTCTAGACATTCCGACGGCTAAAATAAATACAAAAACCATTAAAATTTGAACAGAAATTCTAACACCTTTTTCCTTTTTTTTCAGGTATGACGCGTTTTTCCGATATGTGGTAAGGAGTAAATGCAGGTGAGAAATAGACAGGTTACAGCAGAGTATTTATAATGCCTATAGTCGAAATCACGAAAGATGACGATTACGTCATCATTTTATTCTGTAGTAAAGACAAACGACAGCCATTTGTGAATATTTTTAAATGAAGGTTCAGATGTGTGAGACAGAGAAAAAGAAAATTTTATTGTCTAAACAAGTAGTATTGCTGAATTGCATGTATCCGATAAAGACAGACGATTTTTGCATGTTTCATGATCGATCACATTTGAAAGATGACAATTGAGGTTATGTCATGTCCGCGTGTTGACAGTTCGTTGCAGGTTAGGTTGTTTTCGAACAATACTTTGGTCGTTGGTGTTCCTGTCTTGAGGTGTATTCTGTTGTGTGTATAACTGTTTTTTTCAAAACAAAAACTCCTCATAAAAATTATTATTAAGGTAGAAACTACATCATTTCCAACATAAGAGCATCATTTAAGACTTTAATTCTAGTTTTCGCTATGAAAGGCAGAACTCTTAGCTCTCAATCACAGGGCTTGGTACTATCCTTGCTGAATTATTTTCAACAAGAAAAGGATAATGGACCATTATATTACCATTGTTAGCTGTTCAAGAGGTTTGCAATAGTTAGAAATATGGTCATATGATTGACAATTTATTCTATATTATTTTTCAGAGGGTGGCTCAGGCACTAAGTATCAGTTTGTCCACTATTACCAGAATACAGCGCCGTTTATCATCTAATGATAATGTCCTAACATCACCTGGAAAGAAGAGACCCAGAAAAAAGTCTAAGACAACATAATATACGAGATACAGTGTATCAAATGTATAGTGAAAGTAATGATAATGAGCATGAGATGGTACATTCCAAATTATTGATTTTTTGTTTTGTTTCAGAGAAACATGTCACAATAGCAAATTTGAATAAAACGCTTAAAAAGAAAGAGCTTGCTTCTATCAGCAATAGCTCTTTACAAAGAGTGCTGCCCACCATAGGCTTTAAATATAAAAAAGATGGTAATAGAAGATTTCTAGTTGAGCAATCCAGTATTGCTTTACTTCGCACCAAATTTTTGAGAAGTTATAATGACTATGTGAACACTTCCTCGCATCAAATTGTTTTCATGGATGAAACATGGATATTTTCAAAAGGCAGTCCAAAACAGTCTTGGCAAGATGAGTCAATAAAAAGTGTAAGGAGACCATTGGGCTTTCAAGGAAAGCGATTTATTTTTGTCCATGCAGGGAGCGAAAAAGGATTTGTTGATGGAGCAAGTCTGTTATTTTCCTCACAGTCTAAATCTGCAGATTACCATGGTGATATGAACGGCGAGACATTCATTAAGTGGTTAAAAGAAAAGCTCCTCTGCAACTTGGAAGAGCCATCAGTGATAATTATGGATAATGCATCCTATCATAGCATTTTATTGGAAAAGACTCCAAACACAAGTTCTCCAAAAAAAGAGATTATTGACTGGCTGGTTAAAAATGAAATTGTGTTCCAACCAACATTAACTAAAGTGGAGTTATTGAATATAGTGAAAAGAAATCGTAAGGAAAAGAAGTATTTAATAGATGAAATCATAAGAAGTTATGGACATGAAGTTCTTCGTACCCCCCCATACCAGTGTGAATTTAATGTCATCGAGTTAATATGGGCCAATGCTAAGCAGTATTATGATAGACATATTGGAAGATGTGGTCATAGTGATGAAAATGTTTTAGCTATGTGGAATGAAGCTCTGTCACAAATTACACCAGAGGTTTGGAAAAAATGTGTGAAGCATACCCATGATGTAATTTTAGAGTGGTACAACAAAACTATTACTCGTGAAATAGAACCACTGATAATCTCATTTGATTCAGATAGCGATACTGAATCTGACAGTAGCGATTAATTTTTAATCTGAATCTGACCATAAGTAATGGAATAACATATTGAAATGTACAGTTTATTTTATTTGATATATGTTTTATATAATTTTGTAGCTTATGCTAAAATGAATAGTGGATGGCATGACATGAAATAGTACAAAAATATTTCCACTTTGTATGCTTATTTGTGTTTGTATTTTTTTTATAAAATAAAACCATGTTCTCAGAATCAATTGGTCGTTTTAATGGAGCTGATACCAATGTATTATTATGATTTTGGTAAGAACTCTAGGGACTCAACAATATTAGATGAAAAATAGGTTCAAAATACGTATTATTGTGAACAGAGGAAATGCTGTTTTTTTTATAAATATGTAATTTTATTGCAAATAGAAGTCTTAAAATGTAAATTTGTGCACGGATACTGATAATTTAAAATCATGAAACAGAATAAATAAAAATAATCACTGAAATCAGCTAACTTCGATCACATGTTCCTGACATCGTAACCTTATCATCGACGTACGTCCGGTAATTATTTCGTTACAATTTATGGTATGACGTAATCGTCATCTTTCGTGATTTCGACTATAACTATGTACCCACCATCTTCGAGCATTGAGAAATTTAAATCAGATTCTGTTTTGGAAAAGTGAAAATTACGCGCGAACATTCAAATTTGTTGATCAACCAGTTATTCAGTGTTGCCACTTTTCATAGTATTTTCGAATATTTGTATAAATACCTATAGGTCGTGTCACGGTTTTTGGCGGTTATGCCACAATTTCATAGAGAATATAGGTAAACAGATTCACTAATTATGCTATGCTGACCTTAACTTTCTCCAAGAGAAATTGCACACGCTATTATAGTATAGTAGGTATCTTCGCATCCGATTGGAAAAATATTCTGATTCAGTGATTTGCATAGTAATTAGTCCAGGCCCAAAATTGCGTCAAAAATTGTTTTATGAATTCAAAATATTATTTTTTTCCTTCGGGACAAAGTTTTCTCAGGTTGTTTGGGTTATTCTGAACAGAAAAGGTTCCTATAAACTTTTACCAAAAAATGTATAGCTTCTTCCGAGATATAAGAAATTCAGTATTTGAAATTTGAAAAAAGTGCAAAATTGCCATATCGGACGCTGATATAAAACGAAAATTTCAATTCCCTAAATAATCTTCAAACTTCCATTAATAAAATCCTACGATACGCTTACTCCTGCTATCTAAGCTCACCGCCCGGCGAAGCGGTACGACTGACTAATCTATCCGTACTGCAGCGTGAGAAACATATTCAGGGACCATGTATACTTTATCTGAAGTCACTTGAAATAGCATAAAAACCTTTGGTCGGCGCGTCCTTTGTAATTTCATGACGTATCATAGGCGTGCGGTCATTTATTTAGTAATAATGTTTTTATATCACAATAAATGGATTTTACTATCTTCTTATTTTTTGATTTGGGATAAAAAATACTTATATTGGGAGTTTAATTTATGTTGACTGAAAGTTAAGAAATGGAAAAATTACAGAATTCCAACGTTTGACATAGGCAAATATTTACATAGCAGGTAAGTATATAAACAGGTATATAAAGACTTACATTATAGGTATTTATATATCATCCTCGCCTTCGGAGCTGTCGCTAGAGTCATCTTGTAGAGGAATTACAACGGGATTTACAGGAGGCAAAACACAATATTCATTTTCTTTTTCAATAATGTGCCTAGAACACTGCTTCCATAGGTCTGTGGCAGCAATATGAGATACTGCATCTCTTGTTGTGGCCAATAGCGATTCACTTAATTGAGGGGTCTGATTATGTTTTCTTACTTTTTTTTTAAAGCAGCCCAAACCAACTCAATCGGGTTAAAAATGCAGTAATAGGGAGGTAGACGTAATACTTCATGGCCATTTTGCTGAAGCAGATTGTCAACAACATACTCTTTTTCAAATTTTTGTCTTTTAATAAGATCCAATAATATGGCTTTGGTTGATTTTTGTAGTATTTCCATTCCCTTATCCTTCATAAAATCAATAATGTCTTGTTTTTTTGTGCCTGTATTCGGAATTTTGTTTTTCTGTCGGGAATGGAATGGCGCATTGTCCATAATAATCACTGAATTTGGGGAAATGTTTGGTATTAACTGCTGCTCTATCCACTTTTCAAATAAGTCAGAGGTCATGTCCTCATGATAGTCGGCACATGATTCTTTGATATTTTTGGCAGATAACAGCAAGGCATTAGGTATAAATCCATTTTCACCGCCAGCATGGAGAATAATGATTCGTTTTCCACGGTTGCATGGTGCATTTAAAATGCACTTGTTGCTGTCGTCAACCCAGCCGTACTGCACAACATCATGGGTATCATACCACGTTTCATCCAGGTAAATCAGATTTCTTTTCTGCTCTCTATAGATTTTAACTTTGTGCAAAAATTCTTGGCGCAATTCAACGATTCGAGACGACTCCATAATCACCATTCTTTTATCTATTTTTTGTATTGAAAACCACACAGTTTTACAATACAGTGCAGTGAGTCTAAGCATTTGTAATTATAAAAATCTTCAGGATAATCTTTTAATTTATCCCGTATCATTTCCAACGTGGGCACCAAATTTTCTTTATAAAATCCGTATATTATACGACGAATATCTTCCTGAAAACCCACGTCTATTCTTTTTAATTTTTGCCCTATGCGCTTTCTGTGGAAGGAATGGTTGACTACATCTACCCCTTTTATAACCCGATAAATGGTAGACCGACTGATTTTTCTCAGGATACAAATTCTGTTTAAAATTTGATTTTGCGAGGAATCTGGATTTTCGTTTTTCAGACAATCATACATATTTAGGATTACTCTTTGGGTCTGTTCCTCTAAATCTTTATGAAAGAATTCTGCCTGCACAGGTTCACCAACCATCTCCTCGTGGCTTGGATCATTTTCCCAAGGTCTCCAAAGAGCCATATTTAGGACACACAACAATTAAATCAACAAGTAAACTGAGTATTCAAAAGTCAAAAACACACAAACTAATAAAATCTATGAAAAAACACGGACAGACTAAAGAAAACACGTTTATTCACCGCTACACGGCACTGGCTAAACTGTTTCAATTTTCAGTAGCCACCTGCACTTGTTCAGAGCTCTGAAGTACACGCTTTCTCATTGGCTATGTCCACGCATAGGCGTGCTTTACTCCACGTGGACTGGTGAAACTGCCTTTGATCTTATACGGGGGATATTTGCTGCGAAATTTGGCGATTTTTGCAGCAACAGAGCGTGTTAAATATAGATATATAAAACACACCCGGTATTTCACAGTGTTTCAAGTGACTTCAGATAAAGTTTTTTATACCAAATGAACGATTGCTCGCTACAGTGATGCCGCGCTGGGCTCTGCCGCGCAGATGTGAAAATGGACCACGTTGCCAGATGGACAGTAACTACCGGTAGGGCAGGGAAATAATGTATATCTTAATTTCTCTGTTGTGCATGTTCGTAACTGACTTTTTCCTCAGATTATTTAAATTGCTCTGAACTTAATCTTTTATGAACTGATTACGGCGTTGCGTCAATATACTTGACGACTTTTTTATTGTTAGTCAAGCTCGCGTTCAACGTATATTCTGAGTGAGTGCAAGAGAGGTGAAGCGGTAGTCACTTGTCGGAAACGGAAAAACTATTTTTTCGAATTTGCTTAAAAAAAATCAAAATATTTAGCAAGCGGATGCACAATCACTTCCTGACGTAATTACGGGATACAGGTTTGTTTTCTTTTACCTTATAAAAGTGCTCCCATAAATTTAAATTGTTATGCTTTATATTACAAACATACTGGCAGTGACCAGCATAAATGTGGAGGACTCGTACGTTGGTTAGAGAATTGTAAAGACCGTGGGACAAAACTAAAATCGTCT